TTTGCTGGCAGTTTTGGTAATCGAGAATGCGCACAAGTATTACAAAATGTACGTAATAATAATAACAACAACTAGCTTTTGGTCTACATATTTGATAATACGAGACTAGATAACGTAATCCAACAGACTGTCATATGCCACTTCTATTCAAACTCGCAACCCCTACTTCGACACGTTCATCAGGCAGTGGTGATCATGAATCTGAATTTCAAGATTTTTCTTATATTACAGAACAAATAATGCCAGCTAATACTACCTACGAATGTACCTTAACCCCGGAATCACTGGAGGTAGCCAAACGCGAACTTAACGAAGATCCAGAAACCCGATTACAAAAAGTGCAAGAATTGCGGGAGTTATTCAAAACAAGAGCTGACATCAAATTTCGTTCAGACGATGAATTTCTACTGAGGTTCCTGAGGAATAAGAAATTTAACATTGATAAAGCATTTAAGATGATGGTACACCATTACAAAGTCCGACGTGATTATCCCAAACTATTCAATAATTTCAAACCATCGGCAGTAAAGTATTATCTAGATGAACATACACAGATGGTCTGTCCCGGAAAAGACAAACTAGGACGGACAGTTGTACTTGGAAGAGTTGGTAAGTAGTAACTTCTTTTCAAAATGAAATTGGATTAAATAAAACTAAGTAACTCTTCAACGAATGATTATGGGTGAAATAAATAAAACAGCATTCAACAAGATCCGATCGTTGTTTATTTGAATGGGTAAAATTTGAAAATGCCTGGCACTAACCTGTATGCTGACAACCACTGTGTCAGCACTGTACATGGTAAAATTAGAAATTGCAGTTAGTTTAACAAAGTTCGTATAGTTAACATTATGATTTCATTTGTTTGGTAGTGTGTATTCATAAATACATGGGTAGTTATGTTACCTGTTGTGTTCTTACATTATCAGGCAAGATGAACCCAGACACATTCGATTTCCACGATGCGTTAAAGTCAATGTTGATGATGATGGAAATACTTCTGTTAGATGAAAATATCCAAGTGAATGGGGTTGTTCATGTCGTGGACCACAGTGGAATGACCAGAAAACATCTCCGATTTGGCACACCAATGACAATGAAGATGATGGTTGACGTGTTTGAGGTAAGACGAGAAATTATACTTGTCACCATTGATGGCTTCTTGTCAGCGTTTTTGTTGCAGTGAAAATTATTTAGTGATTATTATTTTTTAATATACCATGCTAGATGACTGTCATCTGGTAATATCAAACACTGTGGTGATAGAGTTGTTAACCGGGCACTGAATTGTAGCTTTCATTTTAGCATTCATGCAGACAAAGTTTTCACGAACATTAATTTACAAAAATATACTTACTAACTGGTTTTCGGAAATCCCCATCTTCACAGAGTGCAACACCAATCCGTTCAAAAGCAGCACATTATATACGTCAACCAGATATATTTGAGATTATGTTTTCTGTAATGAGACCTCTGCTGTCTGAAAAGATGAAGAAAAGGGTATGTGTCTTCACAAATTTCATATTCATATAAGCATGAACAATTACTGACAAATAACTGTTTTATAAGCTGAGATTCGTATGGTAGTGTTATGTACAATTAACCATGCAGGGAGTAATTCATTTGTTTGTTTGACATTCAATAATAGAAAAAAAACGTACCTATCTTTCCCCTGTAATCGAGATTTCTTTTTCTTCAGTTACATTTTCACGGAGATGAATTCGGTACTCTACACGAGCACGTTCCATCTGCCATACTACCAAGTGAATTTGGAGGACAGTTGGAGAAATTCGATAATTCTGAATACATAAAGAAGATACTGGCAGCAGAAGACTATTTTATAGAGAATAGTCAGTACGGATTTCTCAAGTCAGA